CATAATTAAAAAATAAAAAAAGAATTATATTTTATTGATATAATAATTGCGAATGAATCCGCATTGCTTATATATTAACGAAATTGGAAAATTAATCTATGCAACCACCAGAAAGTATAAACACAATAAAATAAGTCTAGTAACTTTAATAATGTTGCTAACTATGTATATATAACTACATAGCCGAAATTATTGATATAGGTAGGTATCAACAAAGACTTAGCTGTGTAATATTTTTTTTTAAATTTAATGAACATCGATTCGATCGATGGATACATGGATTTGCTTTGAAAATGCCTTTTTGTTCAAAGTGATAGCTGAATGTTTGTAAAGTTTAATGATGTAAACGCCTATCTATCTATCTATTAACCATCTAAATTAAGATAATAAATATAGTGTAAGCATAAGAGCTGGAGCATCATAGATATCTCTGAATCGCTAGTGTTGCAACGGTGACCTGCGCTGAACCGGAACACCAGTACCGCTGTTCCCAACTGCAGTTGTGTGTTGCGAGACGCGTTGTAAGATTAGCAACTAAATGGTGCCAATGTTACTGTTCTATATCTTGGAGAGTGATAGTAAAGAAAGATACATCCTCATGTGACCACGACCCTTAGTAGTGAGTTAAGAAGACAGAAGAAGATTATTTTAGAATTTCGCTTTCCGCTTTCATCTATTCTTCTTTGCTTGTTCCTATTTTATTTGAGATCGGCGCTCCTTGTCTCATACGCTAGACCTGTCTGTTCTGGATTATCATTTGATTTAAGTTGGCTTGGGTCAGGTTCTTTGACACAGTAGGCGTTCAAGTCATAGTAGATTATATGATCCTGATAAAATGGGGTTTGAAAATATAAAATGTAAGAGTATCAAGTATTAATCTTTGCTTTTTCAATAAAAGATTTTTGTACGTGATATCCACAGTTATAACCATAAAATTTATCCTAAATCTATTCCCACTATGCAAATACTATCCTTAATCTATGCTCGCTTAGAAGATAATTCGAAGGTGACAATAGAAATGGTAGTGGTGGAATTACAACGAAGTGAGATACACAATAGTCACTATTTCTTTTCATCATCATCACACTCAAAATAAAATCCTATATCAAATAATCTTAGCGACTAGTTTATAATAAGCAAATTGCAACAACTACATAATTTATAAACTAAACTACTGAACCCATTTTGATGAAACTTTCATCTGAAAGGATATATGTACTTTTAAATTGGTATGGGCTCAATTTTGGTATCCTTTCAGAAGGTAAAAGATTTTTCTAAATTAAATATAAATAATAGAATTATAGAATAACAAATATAAAAAAAATACAAACAAATTGAAAATCTCATCTTACGTCAGTAGAAAAGAGTAAATAAGCACATAATATCGTGCAGACTATACCTAATTGCATTTAAAAATCTAAGAATTACCAACTATTCATGAGGCGTGTAAGACTTATTTGTTCGTATTTGGTTGCTTTCTCGTTTCTTCCTGCGTTTTAAAATTTTATGAAAACTGTTTCGTTTGAACACCTATGATATTTTTATTTATTAACTTGTCGCCTTGTTCATGATAGTGACGATATTTTTTTTTTTATAATTTATTAGTAAGCAATCCGTGAAACTAATTTCAATTGTCCAGTTATAGGACATTATTTCTTAAATTTCACCAGGTTAAAGTACTCAGAATCATCGTGTTTTGTTGGGCATTAGCAATTGCTACAGAGCTACGTACTTTTATAACATATAGGTATGTTTATAAATATTATGTGTATCATACAAGGCCCAATAAATTTTCTAGATTAAATTCTTCATTTTCATTGTCGTTAACTAAGGCGAATGACATGACATGAGTAAGATATGATTGATCGCAGTGTTCACGCCAGAGTAAAAATTTGCACTGTATCAAGATAACATCTCTAAAGCTCTCTATATACATTTCACAACAATACTATGTACACTACAATTCACAAAATTGTGATGTATGTGGTATAGTTGAAGATCTACTTATACCTGTTTGTTTTAAATTGTGAATTGTATGAAGAATTGGGGTTTACAACAGGGGGTAATGTTAAGAATTGAGACTATTTTTTACGATAGTGCATTCAAATTGTGCTTGTTACATTTACTCACATTTTCTCTGGCCTATATATAGTAATTCCGTTTTGAGTTTCCGTCATATTATCCTTTGTGGGAGTTTAAAATAACCACGTCATTACTCCATCAACGACCGTGTAATACATTATGTTGATCTGAATTCTAAACTGATCCAATTACTTTGCTTGCTGAAATTATACTTTAAAATACGGGTACGTAAGAGGTTTATTATGTGTGCCCATTGTGTATGTCTCTAGTATCACATACCAAATATAAACTTTGTGTCTTTTGATATAAGATTAAAAATTCAATATGGAGTAGTTTTAATAGTGATTCACTGCGTACAATAACGTAGTACCCGAACCGGGAGATGAACGGCCTGCAGATAAAGAACTTCCGGCGTGATTAGTTCCGCTGCTCACTTACACGTGGTCATTGGAAAATAATATGTGTAGGCGCACGGATACTGGTAGCAATTGCGGTTGTCTGTCTGTCTGTCAACCATAGATGTGCTTCGAGTTTAGAAGTCAACTTTCATAGCGTTTCTGCAATCCCATTTATACATCTTAATGCTTAAATTAATATATAAAAGATTAAATACATACATTCCTGTCAGGTCTGTCTCCCATTAGGGTAGGCGGAAACAATGAAACGCCAAATGCCTCGATTCAAACAAACCTCTTTCGCTTCTTCCACATTCATCAGGCTTTTCATACGTGCTACTTACACAGTACTTTTAATTTGGCCCTTCTTCAGCACGTTGCCTATTTGGTGGACATACATCCGGCCAGGGCGACCCCTACCGATATCTCCATTCATTTTTGCTCGATAAATCTCTTTCGTTATTTTTCTTTCATCCATCCTCTCCAAATGGCCAAATTAATGTAACATTCCCTTTTCGATGTTTTGTCACTGCATAGTCTTTTAATCCACACTTCTCTTTTTTTAAATCTCCTGTATAATTGTTTTTTTTTTTCTTGAAAAGATTAGAAATTTTCAACAAAATATTGAATACAATTTTTTACCCTTATACGGTATCCGACTCGTACTTGGCTGGATTTAATTAGGTACTTTTTACTCATGTAAAACTTCCCTACATCTCCATATCGAGCGTAAAAAGCTGTAATCCATATCGTACCGGCCCGGTCACGATCTTGCGACGTGCAGATGATGTGTACGTATACTTACTGCACGTTTCTCGACGGGTTTTTCTTTTTATTATATTTTATGCTTCGAGTTTTCCAATACTACTCTTTGTAGTATGAGCTAATGTAGAAAGCTTCACTGAATGCAGTGTACTGCCTAATACTATCTTAATATAATTGTGTTCTTTGCTCTGGTACCTATATAATAAGCGGTTAAAAGTATCTTTCACACTTGTGTTTATATAACAACAATTTATTAAGACCTGTGTCCTTTTTTTAACAGACTTCAAAAAGAAGAAGGTTTTTAATTCGATTGTTATTTTGTGTTTGTTAGAATTATGAATTCTGTAAGTTCTAAACCGATTTGGAAAATTCTTTTTTATCTGAAAGGACTTACAGATTAGTTTCATAGATATTTTTTCGAAATTGGTTTAGTAGTTTAGTTTTTAAAATTGATATATATATATATATATATATATATATATATATATATATATATATATATATATATATATATATATATATATATTAATTTATCAATCCATCTTAATTCAGTCTAAGTCCTTGTTCTAAAACATATAATTTTTGAACTAATAAAAATAAGAGTCACGTGGTCGTACATTAAATTTAATATATGTAAATATATAAAAAAAATTATATAATACCTAATTGTTGTTTTCGAAATTGTTTGTATGAGTATCATATATTTGTATGATAAAATGTTTTTTTATGAGAGATGTACTCGTGTCGTCCAGATATTAATAAAAAAATGTTATTTTTTTCTCTTATAAATGACATATTATACATACTTTAGTTAATGCTGTATAAGTAGATTAAGGAGTAAACGTAAACGAATGGCGATGACCTTCTTTACCAGAACGAATATGCAGACAATAAAGAAGACTACCAACTTGAACAATAGGGGTTGTGAAATCGATTGTGGTTGTTTACCAATACGCTACCATTGCATTGTGTTCATTGTTTATGCAAGTAATTCTTTCAACAACATGTTACGATGTTCTATGATTTTTCCCTCAAGATATTTATATTTAGAAGATTGATTTGATTGGGTATTAGTTGTAGTGTTATCGAACAGTTAAAAACAACTTATAAGAACAGTTAAAAAGTTCTTAAAATTAGATACTCATCTAAAATATATTTTTTAAATATGTATTTGTAATTAGATTGACTGCAAGTGTTCTTAATAATTTTTTTTTATATACTCGCATTTACAGTTAGTTACAAGCCCCATATCTTCAATATTATCTCTTTTAGAGAAGAGATAATTTTGAAGAAGAGATATATAATCTTCTTGGAGAAGAAGATTATATCTTTAAGTAATAAATTATTAATTAATTAAGTAATTAATTAATTATAATGATTGTAAATCAAAATCGTATATTTTATTCCTACGTAGAAAAATACTTTCTCATATATACTTTTTTGTTATTACATCAGCCCTTAACTATCCAATGCCAAACATAGGCCTTCCCCATAAGGGAGGTTTTGCCAGTAGTTGCCATACTTGGCAGGTGGGTTGGCACCCGCAGTTATTAGGTGATGTTTTAGGAGGGATGCAGCTGCTCATGAACATTAACTTTCCTTAGTCGCCTCTTACGACACCTACGAGAATGGAAGGGGTGGGCTATTTTATGTCCGGACTACACGACAACAAAAAAATCTCACATACATACGCAAGAATGTTCGCAATAAACATATTATATTGTATCATAAAAAGATTGTACGTATATTTTGTTACAGATCGGATCGGTGTCCACATGCCGTCGCCATCATGGTGATCGTTACTAGGGTGAGTCAAACCTTTTTTCATAAATTTATTCATAAATACGTAAATTTCTTATAAGCCATTTTGTATGCAAAATATATTAAAATATGTACAGATATTCCTTATATAGAAACCTAAATAGAACTAAGTATCTTTCCGTGCTATAGAATATATTACAACAAATTGGAGGTAAATTTCTTGAATTAACATAGCACGAACAAACTGCGTACGTATTTGGAACCTATGTTTTAGCTGCACTTATAAAATTTGCTTACACTTTCGCGCAAATAACAAACACTATCTCCTTTATTCTTAATGTTTTAATCACTTCATTTCATTTAAATTAATTAACAATCTGGGGAAATGCTTATTGGCACTATCGCTGTTTGGAACATTTTGTTTAGTTTTCTAAACGTGTTATTCTCAGATAAATTCTCTGGTTAATAAAAAACAATAAATTATGTTGGTACCTAGTTTATTGTTGGTAATAATTTAAGTATTATATGGTTATAGTAGGTACTTACCCAATAACTCCGTGTACCCAATAACACGTATTGTTTTTATCGAATATCTTAAGGAAAGATTTTATATGACAGTGTTACCATGCGGTAACCACGTAATAACCATGACAAGTTCAAGGTCTACAGCATAAAACAATGAATCTTGAAACCCACGCAGCGTGAAATATGTAAACAGTGATTTCAAAGTTTATCGATATTCAGTTGTAGTTCTTATAGCCAGAGACTTTTCTAGATAATTATCAAACTTTTTTGTCTATGGTCTATGTATTGAAACTTTCATCGAAATAGCCGTTGTTCCTTTCAAATTCTAAGTCACAGACTCAAAAATTTTGGGGCCAACTGGATTTAATAGACAATCTATAGATACGATATGACAATTAGATAATATACTAAAGTCGTAATAAAAGTATAATTTTGCTTCATTCATCAGTAGGCATGGGTAATATTGGTACCCCTCCAACATTATTTTATATATAGAATATTTACCTATTCTATATATAAAATAAGTAAATATTCAAAAGCATACATTTTAATTATTGTACATATAATGAGGATCTATGAAAAATAAAATAATAATTAATGTATTCGACACACGTGCATATTCAATAAAATATGCATAGTATGAACGCGTCCTAATTTTCGGCGAAGGTGAAATTTCAAAAACTCTCACTTGAAGCATGTGCAAGTTATACCTACTTAATAATATAGTAACATTCTCACAGAATAGTGGCCTACTGTTTTAAAGTGATACAACAAAATATTTCACATATGAAGAGAGAGTGACACTTGGTGATTTCTGACACAAATTATATTTGATAAAAAATAATAATAATAAACATGAGATTGTGTTCAAGTCTTTAGATATCAACATCCCGTAAAGTGGAATGGCACATTTTCTCGACGAGTTCCGATCGGTGCGTTTGGCAAGAGCACATTCCGCCAGTCTGCCTCCGCGTCCAGTTCCAAAGGGTCATTCACCTCGCCGGTCATACATACTCACCATACAGTACAAACCAATTGTTAAAAATCTTTATTTATGTTAAAATTATAAATGCTCACGACTATAATCCCTGACGGGGTAGTCAAAGATATTTGTCGTCTGTTGTCGTTGTGATGAACGAGTAACTCGATATAGCCACATTTCATCGAGCATGTTCGAATACAAATTTAACGTAGAAGCGAGCCAGCCTACCGTCACTTGCATTTGAGTTGTTATCGATATTTTAAGTTATTCTTTTATTAATTACTAGTGATCCGGTCCGGCTTCGAGCGAGTAGACGGAATTTTCGAAAATTATTTATAGCCTTGTAATAACACATTACACGCTGATAAAGTAGCTTTCTATAAATGAAATATTTTTTAAATTGAGTACTTTTTGAATGTATCCATTACAAACAATTTTTTTGGTAACCATTCCATTTTCACTCATTAAAAAAGCCTATAGAAAATTATATTTCTGAAATCTTTCTTTAAAGATTTTGTAAAGTTTTATAACTTATCAAAAATTATTTAATAGAAATTTATAAAGATATTTCCCTGTACTTTTAATACATAATGCAATGTTATTATATTATTTTTATTAAATATCTCGTAAAGTACCTATAAAATAGGTTTATAACTTTTAAAACTCCCCTTATGGGAAGGCCTATGTATATGTAATAATAAAAAAAATAAAAATAATAGTTTTAATTATGTATTATGGACTTGTTGATATAGAAGATAGCTAGATTATATAAAACTTGTCTATTGGGCAACATATTTCGTATAATGTTCGTCACACGACCTAATCGTGTTTTATTTCTCCATAATATTTTGTGGGTGACCGCAAGGAAAACAGTCTGCCATTACCAAAACGAGAGCGAGAGTAGTTGCGCTTGCGCACAATGAATCGTAAATTCAAGTTCATGTGGGAGTTAAACTAGGAGCGATCGGGTTCCGTAACATAATCATCATAAGAAATGTTGATTGTGCTCTATATGGAACTCACCTTGAAAATTATATACCAAATGTCAGATTTTACGTAATTTTTGTTTTTATTTTTAATAAGGATAGGTAGGTAAGGTAGGCTTTGATAATAACACGTACCTAAGTAAGATGGTGCATACTAAGTATTTTCTAAATGTATTTCGACTAAGTGACATAAATTTTTATACTACTTAATTCTCTTGTCATAAAATGTTTTGAGTTCTCATATACGAGTCAGTTCTGGCGATTTAATTATCCTTTTCATTAATAAAAATAAGAAAGAGTATAAGTGTAATATTCTATATCTATGTGTTTTATTTTTTAATTCATTAATTTTCCACTAAGTATCTATGTTTTTTACTCGTAATTAATTTGTTTACGTAATTAACATACAATGTTTAATTAAACATAACCTAACCTTTTTTTTAGTTCAAATTAAATTATCATAAAAACGTTGTTGTTGAACTTGGTCAACCCTATTCTAAAGTTTTCGAGCGACCGCGACTAGTAAATATATAGTGTCTGCCTACGCCTGTTCAAATATCCAAGAAATAGAGCTGCAATTGTACTGTGAAATCTGGATTTCTATATAAAATAATTCAACCCAGCGGTAGGATTTACCATTATAGGCATTACCTATAAATGTAGTAATTTAATATTATTTATTCTATTTCAATAAGTAAAATGGATTCACGTGACATTTGATTTTTTTATGAATATGAGGGTAAGTGTATATTATAAGAGGATGTTTTTACATAATATAGATATTATAAACTAAGCAGTACCTGTACAGACCTATACCTACATGGACTTTGTGAAAATAACTGCATCACGACCCGCCGAGTGCAAATTTGTTCACGTCATTCTCGGAAATACTTGGAATTATGTTGAACACGACTTTTGACGTGTTTTGTGTGCCATGACACATTCAGTAAAGGATTTGCATATTTGTATATCTTAGGTATAGATAACATTTATGTAAATTATTTTTTAACACATCACATGCTCCGAATATGATTACTTTCTTCACTTAAAACAGGGGAAAATTAAACTTTAGTTATTTATCTAATTTGAAAACAGCGACAAAAATTTTGGTATACAATTATTTTTACTTCTATAATATCTTCTATGTCACGAGGCCTAAAATTACCACAAACTATTTAGAGATACTAAACCGCAGATTCTATAATTACATTACTTCATTTAAGAGTTGGCCCTGCCACTGACGAAACGGAAAATAATTCTATGCAATCAACTGCATGCATTAAGAGAGTAAATAATTATTTCTAGTGTTACATAATTATTTATAATATGTTTTTTTAGAATATCGATATCGTAAAATATAAAAATATGGCTTTATAGTGTAAAATTTACGCACAATGACCCAAATGAGAGGCTTAACGCGGGAAAAAAAGTTCAAATTACATTTAGTGTAAAGTTTTCAAATTCATTGAAATGATTACACAGACTTCATACAAAAAAATTGTAATGACATAAAATTGTATGTAAATAATTTGTTTATTGTTGTATTCTTGTTATATTATATAGGTTATAATTAGTTCTTATAAATTTAATATAGCCATATGGCTCTCAGCATTAAATATATAGAAAATTGGCCACAACAATAGGTGTCATAATCATATCATAAATAAATAACTCGTATGGAATTTTTTACCTTACCTAATTGAATGCAAAAAAAAATTAAATGACGTTTTTAAAAATGTTTTAGATAAAGAATAAACAGCCAATAGATTCAAATGTTACGAATAAACAATATTGGGTTTTTAATAGGGATTAAAAAAAACTATCCTATGTCCTCCTCCATCCCATATAATACCTAACTACATACCAAATTTAACAGTGGTTGTTTAAGCCATTAAAGCGCTATGAAGTAACAAACAAACTTAAGTATTTTTACATTTATGACATTGTTAAAGATATATATTTTTGTTATTCTATTTAAAACTAATTTGTCCTATTTCGTAACTTACTACGTACATAGATACGTGCATCTAGTAAATACGCGACGAAAGTGAATGCATACATAATTAAAAAATAATTGGATTTATTATCTAACACATGATCTTTACTGGGTGTCTCAATAATTAATTCGCATATTAATATGTCAATTGATTTATATTGATATCGTTATATAAGCGACACTTTCTTGAGAGACGACAGGTCATTTAGAAAGCTAATGTGTCGAAACTAGCAGCACATCACAAGTCCCTCAAAGTAGGCAAAGTGTATGCCTCACTCAAGATAAAGTACATATTTCTGTATAATTGGCAATAGGCGTCTTAAATTGCAAATTAAATCAGTACATTTCAGTGTCAGCAACTACATTTTTATATACGAACTAACTGTCGTGGCGATTTTAATCCATAATAAAGTTAAGCAATGTGTGGTATGCCGTGTCATTCCGACATAGAATGGCCTACCTATTCACCATGGGTGTCTTAAGAGGCGTATAAGGGAACTTAATGCTCGAAGAATGGGCAGCAACGTCCCTCTTAAAACATCACGAAAAACTTGCCAAGTCGCCTGCCAAGTGTGGCATCTTCTGGCAAAACCCCCCTTATGGAGGGGTCCTATGTTCAGTAGCGGACAGTTAATAGCTGATAAGATGATAAAAGTTGCCAGGATTTAAATATAAAATTAAAAGTTATATATACGTAATTATTAGTATATAATTTTCTTTAAATTGTTTTCGCCTTGGTTTTTATTATCATCCGTATAGATGTAAAGTGTGTGTTTAATAATTGTACCATTAAGTTGTGTTATCTTTTTAGTTTTTTTTTTTTTTTTTAATAAACAATATGAAAAGATTCACTAAAACTTTCACTATCGGTATACACTGATGGGATTCCAGTGAATGATGATAGTTGAGAATGAGGTCAGGTCAGGTGGCTCATTATGTCGTATTTATCAGATTAATTAATCATCATGGTTTCCAAAGGACTAATGTGGAATTCGAACTGACGATGTAGCATGATAGTATTGGATTTACCAGACCTTGTTGGTAACAACTCTCTTTCCGCTCTATTATTCTGTGACTGAATAGTTACAGAATAATAGTGCAAATAAACATAAGGGACTTCAAACTAGAACGGAAAATTCAGAACAGTAAGAAGTTAGCGCAGGCGAAGTCGCGGGCAACGGCTAATTATATAGATAGTAAAATGATGTTGTCACGACTAGACGATGACGACACGATTATTAATGAGTGAGATGTATTATCTAATTAAATAATATTCATACAGCGTCTGTTATTAATCGCAATTCGACCCGAGTTGGGCTGCGGTCAGTACTTTGTGATAAACTTATCGATTATTCACAGATACTTTAATAAAAACGGTTGACAAACAATGTACATAGTTCGGCTTTGGAAGCAATAGGAATATTTATACTAATGTAGTGATATGGAAGCTGGTTTAGTTTTCGAGGTAGGTGGCTGTTATTTTATAATTATATTATAAAATACTGACAATTAATAGTTACTACTGTTTGTCGCAGTTACTCGCCTTTTTTGTTACTTTCCAGTTTGTTTTTATTAGTTTTCTGGCATTCTGATGATGTCAAGAATTTCTAGCTAATTTTATTTATTGTATACGAAGGCCTCTGTTAATAGTTTTTCTTGCCTTTAAATGAACGAAATAATTGATTGTCAATTATCTTTAATGAGTCAAAGATTAAATTGAAAATTAAAATATTATTAATGTATTTTTAATACCTCCGAAATGTCGTAACTCTCTATCGTTTAATACGAGAGACTCCTAATGGCGGACTTTTGGTACCAATTTTTATTGATGAAATAAAGCAACAGTTAATGGCCGTCTGCAATAAATGTATCTACTTTCTACTTAAATTAGACAACAATCTCGATCACTCAGTATGGATGCGGTAGACGAATTAATGCTCAGCATCGACAAACAAGGACGAAACTACTTTCTCCAAATTGATTGTTTATTCTATTCGGCAGGGAGAACATTATGTGCTTTGTAATCGGTCTAGAACAATAGGTACCTGAAAAAAATATGTATAAGTGAAAGTGATTTGTTATCTTCGAACACTCTTTGTAATAAATGCACGTAGCGACTCTTTCTTCTGTTAGATTTTGTGATTTTTCTTATATTGTATTGACTTAGTAATCGCCTCTATCCTTGCACCCATCTCTTGCATCATTCACTTTCATTATCATTCATAGCTTGATGCGTCTCGCACTCTCCGGTTCTTGATTCGTTTCATACCTCCTTTGATTGGTTTATATACGATCTATCTGATCGTGGAAGGTAGTTTCATTTGTAGTAATTTTTTTTCTTTTACTTTTTTTAGTATATCTACTTATTTTGTCATCTTTTCATTCGAAATAAAGTCTGCATTTGAGAACCAATGGGGTTATTATATTCTTAAAGATAAAGGAGGGGAATCTTTTGTTTTTTTTAAGTAATTTAAGCAATGTTTTTTAACATATTATAGAAATATATCTTTATATTATGTTGTGTGAATTATATCATCGTTAACAATACAAAGCGTTATATTACTATATATTCAAGTAGTAAATTAGTCCCAATAAATATTTATTGAATCTTATCTGAATTCCAGGGCGATTACATATGGATCGAGCCAGTGTCAGGTCGGGAATTCGATGTGGCGATCGGAGCGCGCGTCCTCGCTGCCGAGGGTCGCCGGATCAGGGTCCGGGACGACGACGGCCAGGAACAATGGCTGCCGCCGGAGAGGCGCATCAAGGCCATGCACGCCACCTCCGTGCATGGCGTCGAGGACATGATCTCCCTGGGAGATTTACACGAGGCCGGCATATTGAGGAATCTCCTTATTAGATATAACGAGAATCTCATTTACGTAAGTAGCTGTTTTAATCATTTTTTATAATTGAATTACGATGAATAAAAGTACGTCATACCAGTGGGTGATATAGTTTATAAGAAAATGGACCGCATCTCTGACCCACTACCCACAGGTATTATTATTATAATTATTATACGGACTCCAAATGAAATAGACATTGGAAAACTAAGTTACAGTGATTTTTATCGAACCCTAAAAATAAAATAGACTTGGTTGAAGACATTCGTCAGGTAAAAGTCTCTGTGAAAAGGTAGGGAATTGTATTCTACGATATATGCATCCTTGGTCGTGTGTCCCGGTATAGAATAGGCCACCACATCTTTTTCTGTGGGTGTCGTAAGAGGCGACTAAGGGAATTTAATAGTCGAGGGATAAAACACCTCTAAAAGCCTAATTGCGGTTGCCTATCCGGCTTATGTTCAGCAGTGGGCAGTTAACGACTAAAAATGATGATATGTGTCTTATCTGTAGGCAAAACGCAAAAATTTTCGTCATCTTCTGTGTTGTTTTAGGTATTATAAAAAATAGAAAGTATTAGTAAAACAAACTATTTAACAATCCTTATTACTTGTTACTCGTATATTTTCATATTATCATAATGAATAATGTTTTTTTTTTTTTTAATAGGTAGTATTTTAAGGGCTTTTACCTTTTTCAGGTATAATGAATAATGTTATCGTAATTTATTATTTCCAGACATATACCGGTTCAATTTTAGTGGCGGTGAACCCGTACCAGATACTGCCAATTTACACAGCAGATCAGATCAAATTATACAAGGAGCGGAAGATAGGCGAGTTGCCACCTCACATATTTGCAATAGGAGATAATGCGTACGCGCATATGCGGAGGTACGGTCAGGACCAGTGTATCGTGATTAGTGGGGAGTCAGGAGCAGGAAAAACGGAATCAACTAAGCTTATTCTGCAATATCTAGCAGCCATCAGTGGGAAACATTCGTGGATAGAACAACAGGTAACTTAAAACAATGTTTTAATACACATAATTCGTTGTAATCTAAAATTAATGCCTTTCATACATAAGAAATATTTTATAGGCGGACATAATATCTCATTACGTTTACTTTATCTTCTTATATGCTTTTCGAAAAATTTTAGTCTGGTTATAAAAATTAGTATAGGTATCTACTAAGAGAAGTGTAGTCCGTCGTTAACAGAATGTCTAACATCTTTATAATTGGACCTTAAATTATATTTTCCAAATAAAGTATTTGTATTTCCAGCATTCAGTTTTCGGCTCAGTAGCCTGTATCAATAAAACATAATGAAAATGTAAATAATATACCCCAGACAGTCTATTGACGTTTAATAGTAGTACAAATATAAAAAAAATGTTTTGTTTATATAGAGAGTATTGTGTATAAATGTCTGTAATAATCTCAACAAAACTTGATTACCTTTTCATTCATTTCATTTATTGAAATAGATAATAAAAATAATTTAATTTCATCTAAAATAGAGGGTCTAGAACACGACTTGTCGACTAACTCAATCTTCTGGTATTGCGTATAGATTTTATATCTCTTTGCGTTTTTTTTTATCGTATATAACATAACACCGTACAAATCACCACAAGTTAAAGTTTTATCCCGATTATTGGGATAAGTACATCGACACTTCTGCGTCTTCATAAAACACGGCACACTCTCCACTGTGTTTTTTTGTAGACATTTCCTTTCACGCACAACCAAAATATAGTGATATTTTTTAACATATACTACGACATTGAAACCTTAAAAAAAGAGTAAACCTTCATAAAAGGCCGACAACACATCAGCAATTTCTCTAATGTTGCGAGTACTCATATTCGGCGGTAATCACTTATGATGTGGCAATCAAGACATTTGCCGACTGTTACCGTTGTATTGAATATAACATTCGACATAATCACATTACACTAAGCGTATTAGAATTCAACGCGGCAGGGGGCAAACCAACTCACTCGGATTAGTTGATAAATTATAGGTATTCTAGTTTAAATATACACTTTATAAATTGCCACTCAAGTTCAATTATTAAATTGATAGACATGTTCTGATAATTGTATCTCATAATCTGGCAATATATTTTCCTTAATTAATTCAGATTATTTCTCGAGCAAATGTTTAATATGTTTTTTTTTTTTATTCTCGACAGATCCTAGAAGCAAATCCAATCCTCGAAGCTTTTGGTAATGCCAAAACTGTTCGGAACGATAACTCCTCGCGGTTTGGGAAATATATAGATATACACTTCAACAATAACGGTGTTATAGAAGGTGCTAAAATAGAACAATATTTATTAGAGAAATCTAGAATAGTCTCTCAAGGCACTGAAGAGAGAAATTATCATGTTTTCTACTGCTTACTCGCGGGTTTATCAAAGGAAGAAAAAAAGAAATTGGAATTGGCGGATCCGTCGGAATATAGATATTTATCAGCGGTAAGTTTTTATTAATGTCGCGCATTGTTCGACTGCGCTGATTACTTTGATAATTTATTGTTTTAATTAAATTAATTCCAGTAGATGGCGCTTTGGATTATGCTATCTTCTATGTTTCTGAATTACTATCACGGACTGATGTATAATAGTAAATTAAAAAAACAAACTAGTTTTTTTTTTACTTTACTCCTAAAAATTAATTGTATTTTAAATTTTAAATGAAAATATATTTTATCACTTTTAGGATCTGATGTTAAGTACGTTAGTTTAGGAAATAGTATTATTGATGTAAATATTAGTAAACTAATTAAAATGAAATTACTTTCCAGGGTGGCAGTTTTACATGTGAAGGCAGAGATGACGCTGCCGAATTCGCTGACATTCGATCAGCAATGAAAGTATTACTGTTCACAGAACCGGAAATATGGGAAATACTAAAGTTGCTAGCCGCTGTCCTGCATTGTGGAAACATTAAATACGAAGCAACAGTCGTAGACAATTTAGATGCAACTGAAATTATTGAACAGGCGAACGTGAGACGAGTAGCAAATCTATTAGGGGTACCAATGCAATCATTAATTGATGCGTTAACAAGAAAAACTTTGTTCGCTCATGGTGAAACTGTTGTGTCTACTCTAAGTAGAGACCAGTCTGTAGACATTCGTGATGCTTTTGTTAAAGGCATCTACGGACGCTTGTTCGTCACAATTGTAAAGAAGATTAATGCTGCAATTTATAAACCCAAATCCACTACGCGTACAGCCATTGGTGTTTTGGATATTTTCGGTTTTGAAAACTTTGATCACAACAGTTTCGAACAGTTTTGTATAAATTTTGCCAATGAAAACCTTCAGCAGTTTTTCGTTAGACATATTTTCAAACTGGAACAGGAAGAATATAATCACGAAGGGATTAATTGGCAACATATTGAATTTGTTGACAATCAAGACGCGTTAGATTTGATTGCTCTAAAACAATTGAATATCATGGCTTTAATAGATGAAGAATCAAAGTTTCCAAAAGGAACTGACCAAACCATGTTAGCTAAATTACACAAGACCCATGGTCTTCACAGAAACTACCTCAAACCAAAATCAGACATAAATACTAGTTTCGGACTCAATCATTTTGCTGGGATTGTATTTTATGATACACGAGGTTTCCTAGAAAAGAATCGGGATACATTTAGTGCTGACTTGCTACAATTAATTCATATATCAACAAATAAATTCTTGCAACAGATATTCCAGGATGATATTGCAATGGGATCAGAAACAAGAAAGCGCACACCAACACTTTCAACACAGTTTAAGAAGTCTTTAGACTTACTGATGAGGACATTGGGTACATGCCAACCATTCTTTATTCGGTGTATCAAACCCAATGAATTCAAGAAACCCATGATGTTTGACCGTGGTCTTTGTTGTAGGCAACTAAGATATTCTGGTATGATGGAAACTATTAGAATCCGAAGAGCCGGCTATCCAATCCGTCATAGTTTCAAAGAATTTGTAGAACGATATCGATTTTTAATACCAGGAGTTCCACCGGCACACAAGACTGATTGTCGATCAGCTACTTCGAAGATCTGTGCGAGTGTTCTTGGTAAATCTGACTATCAGTTGGGCCATACCAAAGTATTTTTGAAGGACGCTCACGATCTATTCCTTGAACAGGAAAGAGACAGAGTACTTACTAGGAAAATATTAATTTTGCAAAGATCTATACGTGGTTGGGTATATAGAAGACGATTTTTGAAGATGAGAGCAGCAGCTATCCTGATTCAGCGTCACTGGCGAGGGAAATTACAGAGGATCAGATATAATAGAATGAAAGTGGGATATGCAAGGTTGCAAGCATTGATACGTGCAAGAGTGCTTGCCCATCGGTTCCGACATTTGCGAGGACATATAGTTTCTTTACAAGTAAGTCTATAACGAAATATATAATTATGCTACTAATATTATAAAATATAAATTTATACTTAAATGGTGGAAGGGATTTGAATAAAATTCCGCACACATTTGAATTATATCTTACAGATGGTAAGTTACAGTAAGTTATAGATGATAAGAAGTAGAGATTATAACTGTTATGACAATTCAGATAGACAAAGCTGCGAATAAAATACAGCTGCAGCAATAGCAACAGTACTATAAGGCTTTTTAAATTATATATTGCATGTTTAAGACATAAAGGTATATTAAATATTTAACATAAATAAAAATACTCTTTTCCAGGCAGCTGCACGCGGCTATTTGGTTCGTCGTTCATACGGACACAAGATGTGGGCTATCGTCAAGATTCAGAGCCACGTGAGACGTTTGATCGCGATGAGGCGTTACCGTCGAATGAAGCAGGAAGCGATCGCGCACACGGAGGCGCTGCGCCTACGCAGACAAGAAGAGCAGCGCCTACAGCACCAGGGTAACACTCGCGCTAAAGAAATTGCCGAACAGAATTACAGGGTAAGTAATTTAGTTTTTAATTACCAGAGGGAGACTTTGTACAAAAGTCGATTGCTTGGGTACCTCTGTCCCATTCGTGTTTCAACCGTGAAGCAGTTGTGATTGCATGGCTGTGTTTCGGTTTGAAGGGTGGGATATGGCGTGAATTTATGGGTACAGAGGAATAACACCTGAGTTCTCAGGAATGGCAACGCATGGGGGGTATCATGGACGAAACAGTTTACTCTGTTATGTCCATGGTACAGCTCATGTCTATAAGCGACGGTTACCATTTTCCATCAGGTGGGCCGTCAGCTTGTTTGCCATTCTAAGTTGTATAAAAAAAAGCTGCCACAGACTATGACAGATATGATATGACAGACGGCTTCATGCAAATGTCCTCTTGGGTACGTCTGGCTCACTCATAATTCTACCGAGAACCAGCTGTGCTTGCATAGCTGTGTTTCGATTTGAAAGATAGAATATAGCAACGAAATTACAGGGTACGGAGGCATAACCATTAGGAAATGCAACCCATAAGGGGTCACAGATTACTCTATAATGTCAATGGTGCTGTTGTGGCATCAAGTGAGCTTGTTTGGCATTCTGCGCATTATAAAAATATGCTATTCCTATTTGCAAAAAAAATTGACTTTGTATTTTTAATTGTTTTTTATGTTCTAACTGCATTAATTATCTTATCCTTCAGCCCAATACAACGACCTTGTTATTTTGTTCTAAAAATAGGCAAATTTATTCTAAAGTATGGCAGGTGGATCGCACTAAATTCTCTTATCCACGTTCAATGTTTATTTACTGCGTATTAAATGATAAAATATAATTAGATTATAAGAAGATATTAAATAAAGGCGGCCTCTTTGCTTCCACAATAATAATTCAATTAATGATACAAATAAGTAGGTAGGTATAGGAATTTAAATAAAAAAACATATTTTAATAAAATGATGTCATCTATTTAACAATTTAATCATTTAATTGATCTAAAAATTCTAATGAGACATTAAGTAAAAATGTAAATATGTAGTCGTGACTAGTTACCAAAGAATGCACTGTTCAATTTCTAAATTCAAATAATTTTAGCATTCTTTAATACTTTACGGCTACTTGTTACATTGTCCTCACGTTATCTATAGGCGTATAAAGAGAATGTCAGGTTCTAACCTTAAACGATGCCTGTAACACTCCTACGATATCATTACATCTCATTTATTAAAATCCATCAAATACAGTATTTTGTTTCTCAGATTTGAACATATTTATCTAAATACATATTCATGCTCGAAAAATATATTTTTATTTACTAAAAATTGAAAACTCTATTTAAAAGAAATACTGGTTTTATAACACAAATAATTTATACATGGTGGTATACTCTAGTTGAAACTGGTTTGCTAATATTTGGTATCTTAATCGTTATACTATATGTCCTCGTAGCATTAACATGCCGTTTCATCATATAAATCATATCAGCCCTTAAATATCCACTGCTAAACATAAACCTCCCTCATAAATGGGGTTTTGCCAGTTGCCCCGCTTTGCAGGTGGATTGGCAACCGCAGTTAGATTTTGGAGATGTTTTAAGAGAAACGCTGTTGCCCATCCCTCGTCCTCCCTTAGTCACTTCTTACGACACCCACAGGAAAGAATAGGGTGGCCTGTTCTATGCCGGGACCACACGGCAAATATGTAGTTTATAAAAATTAAATAATTATACTATGTCATTCCAGATCGAACTAACTCATTGTCGACTGTTTTCGTTATTTTCAATCTAGGCTTATTGATTGTGAAATGTGTGTGAAATAGACTTGAGTACATTTCGCTACATTTCGCTTTTAATCTATTTTTTTTTTTGGATGTAGGTAATTAGAATGGTAACTTTGCGATAATGCTTTATGCTATCAGGTACCCAGTGAGGGAAAATAGATGAAAATGAATTTTTTAGCCCGATGTGATATATTCACCAGAAATTAAGCACGATAAATATCTGTAAGTTCTCATGGTATCGTAATTATTGCTTTATTCCCAAATTAATTATTTTAAAATAAGAACAACAACTAAATAATATCAGATATTTAATTATCAGAATGGGAACGAAAAGAAATGGCAATACAATATAATATAATGTGTTCGGTCTCCCTCAAATTTTCGCTAGCTTCAAAATTCTGTAAAGTGCCTATTAACTCTCCTTTTAAGTATTATTTTCCTGTGTTCTTTCTTCACCTACCTTTTTCTTTCTCCCCTGTTGTATTTGTGTTATTAAATACGTGTATGTTTATGTATATATGTTTGTATACATCAGTATCTTTATAACAGTGCATCACCAACCCTTTGTCTTTTTTTTCAATGACCTCTGCCCAAAGGTTGTCTGGAAAAGATTGATTAGCAATAAGGCCACCTTTTGTATCACTTTCCATTATAATTTACTGTATTTATTATTTTTATATTTTTTTTTTTTTATATAACTTAGAATGGGAAACAAGCTGACAGCCCACCTGATGAAAAGTGGTAACCGTCGCCTATAGACATGAGCAGTACCATGGACATAACAGAGTATACTGTTTAGGCTATGATACCCCCCATGCGTTGCCATTCCTGAGGACTCAGGTGTTATTCCTCTGTCCCCTGTAAATTCATAATATAAATAATACGAAAAGAGATATCGACCTCAAACTTAGTAATAGTATACAACTGAATAATTAGTGTCTTTTAACATATTAACCTTCATTACTTTGTTCTTTTTTATTAGTACTGAGATGCCTTAGTCATGTGGCTGCGAAGTTTGTATGATTTGTTTTTTTTTTATTTTATATAGAATATCACTGGGCTTCAAATTTAAAAATATAGGCCTTTTTATTATCTATGCGTTATAATAGAAATAGATATATTGTATTAAATAGGCATGAACTAAATCAGATATGATACCGAATCCACTTTGTCGTTATATTTTATTCATATTGATGTCTATCTTAAGAGCTTCAATTACTTATATCTACAACAATCTCTCGTTTTATATTTATTTTTCTTGCAATCTCAACCTTGTTGCTTTGTAATAAAAGTCAAGGATTTTCCAAGTGGTTATTTTTTTCGTATGGCGGTATAATCAAACGGTAATCAACAATGATTATCGCGATTTCATATCAGGTCATCTATGTCCATAATAGTCGAAATTACTCGAAATCTTATCTCATCCCGATTAAATCTATTATATCGACAAAGAAATTCCTTTTAATTTTCCAATTCAGTAGCGCGGTAGGTACATGCCACTTGCATATTTAATCGTGTTTTTTGATTAATACTTTGTGTTAAATAGTAATTATTAGAATTATTAGATTTAAGTATATTTGAATAGTGCAGTTCAGTGACGTTATTGATAAATAAACAGTGCAAGTTTGTTAAAACTATATAGGAAAAGAAACTTGTGTCCATATTATTGGAGTCCTTGGAATATAAATTTAGTTTAATCAAAATGAGGTAAGATTTTATCATTTATATATTATGTGAAATAGTTTTTGGGTCAAAAGTTTCAAACGGTTCGTGAGGTGCTAGACACGGTTGCGTGTCATTTTATCATTTGTTTGTATGAGCCACAATGAGTAAATACATATTTATTATTGAAATTATATTGCAACATGTTTTTTTGAATATATTTTCTCAATTATTATAAAAATTAGGATATTTTCTTAACAGTGCATTGATTCATATTATTAAATACTGTACTCATTAATTGGTTGGAAAAGAGAACATTGGTTGGAATAATAAAGAATAGAAGAGGCAAAATGCTGGGCCACCTTATACGACATGACGATTTTTTTAAGAGCATAGTAGAAGGAAAGGTAGAGGGCAAAAGAGGAAGAGGAAGACCGAACTACATGGGACAGATAAAGGAAACACTAGGCGTCATGTCGTATAGGGAGATAAAAGATATGGCTTGGTATAGAGCTGGCTGGAGGAAGATACATGAATTAGTTGCACCGACAAGAGGAAACTCTTAAATGAAATGAAATGAACTCATTATAGCCATAAAAAATTGTCTTGACGTAGTTTAATTTTAAATTTTTTAAACAGGCGTATACTTTAATTGTATGTTAAGTTTAATCAAAGTCAATAAGTTAACTTTAATACGAAACATTATTAATAAATATTTTTTTCTTGTTTTATACTCAATCGTTAAAATAACGGACGGAGAAAGCGAATCGAATGAAAATGGCAAATGAAAGAAAATAAAAATTCTAAATGCATTTTAATAAAATACAAGTATAATATTGCATAAATGTAGCAATTTTTTTCTAATGCTCGTAAATTCTTTGAAATTTAATCAAGTACATCTAATAGAAAATAATCTAATAGATATAATAATAGGTATTGCCAAAGTACACAGGCCGCGGTTGATATTACTTAAAACTATTGAACCAAAACCATTAAGAGATTAGATAGGATGCAAGGAAATGGATCTATTTAAATAGGTACGTAATATAATAAATATCTATATAGTAAAATAAAAGCGTCTATACTTGAACAAAAATTTATATTTTTTTAAGATTTGTAATTATAAATGGATATATTTCCGTGGATTTTAATCATTAAAGTGCTGATTAAGACTGCTCCAAAGACAGTACGCTAATCATAACATTTTCACAATTCGTCTGTAAATTTTATGTGTAGTTTCGTTATGCAGTAATTTTTAAATTCTTATAAAATTTTAATAATTATTTCTAATCGGGAAATAATTATTGCAAATTATAGTTATACCTACCTAAGGAATTGATTTAATATCATCATTATCATATCCACTGTTACCTCTGTCCATTGCTGAACATAGGCCTCAAAAGTTGGTACAGTTGGCAGGCGGGTTAGCAACCGCAGGCGGGTTAGCCTTTGGTGATGTTTTAAGAGGGACGCTGCTGCCCATTCTTGGACCATTAAGTTCCCTTAGTCGCCTCTAACGACACCCACGGGATAAGAAAGTGTAGCTCATTCTATGCCGGAACCACACGGCAATGGTTTAATATAATGGTAAAGTATATATCTATTGAAAGCTGGAAAGTTATTATTTAAGATTCTGCTTAGCATAAAGAAAAATTATTTCATATTTTTTTTATGCCAAGGAAATTTTTACACTTTACTTTCGTATTAATTTCATATTGGTAGGTAAAACCTTTTTTTTTTAAATGATTTCCCGAAAATGTCACCTCAATTGTTAAAGGTTTATTAGTCTATTTATTATTAGTTTTCACGAGATTGCTTATTAATTTTTAAAATCACCAATTCCCCTATACAACAAGAAAGGGTTCCAAGACTATCTAATAGTAAGGGATTGTCACAGTCTATGAACGTTTGCTATACTGACAGGGTTACAAATGTTACTGACCTTATTTTCCTTTTCGTTAAGAAAAATAAATAATACAAAAATAAAAATTTTACCCAGCGCAATTTGCCCCAGTCGGGCAGCTCGAATATTCGAGAAATTTCTATTTGATTTTATCTGTCTGAAACCGCTATTATCTTTCCACTGTGTTATTAGGCACCTTATTGATATTACACGAAACCATTGTTTTTAAACAATACTGAAATATTTATCTCTAATATTTTATTTTTATTACCAAGCACATATTATACACATATAGTCCAAACAAATGATATAGAGAGGGATAAAAGAAGGACTATTAAATAAATAGCTAAGATTATAACAATTATGAAATATTATGTAAGTAATTTATTCATATGTCACAAAGTATTATTTATCAATAGAAACTATATGGACAGTAAATACTGACATAATGATTTTAACATTTAGATATGTTTTAATAAGTATATACAAATATATGTAAGGCATGTAAGGTTTCAAATACATAGGATATATAATAAATTACAATTCTTGCTGTACGTTTATATTTTCTAAGTACATTTGTTGCTGGTACTTACACAGTCGAAGCTAATATTCCTTCATACCTACAAAGGCTGTAGTTTCACACCACATATATCTATACATTTGACACGATAATTACATACAATCATCATTATAAACCTTCAAGTAATGATTTGTTCCCATTCAGTGATCCATTCATGCACAAACATTACACAAGTCTAGTAACACGCTCGGCGCTTGAGTAATACGAGTATGTCTAGTCCAGCCAGACAGAATACATAATCAGACCATAATATAACTCAATCTAACTTCAACTGTTGAAGTAAACGTATTCTCTGATCATACAGAAGTGCAATGATAAACACTTGGTTTTATTGTATCTGTGATAAAGTGGGTCCTGGAATGAATTATGTTAGTTGTATCTAATATAATTCTTGTACGAGCTCAGGATATCAAATAACACCAACTTTGTGCATTTAATTTTATTTCGTTTTGTGCTTTGTGTATATTTATTAACTTTTTTATCAGAAATTAAATCAAAGTACAAATTTTAAGTGTTCTCAGTTTTCAAACAAAATTTTTAATAAATAATTTAATTTACAGGAGCGTATGTATGAACTTGAAAGGCGCGAAGCCGAACTAGTACTAGAGGAGAAGCGGCAACTAGAAGTTAAGCGAACACTGCTCCAAGAAGCTGCTCGGAAGCAGGAAGAGCCTGTGGATGACAGCAAATTGGTGGAGGCTATGTTTGACTTCCTGCCAGACTCGAGTAGCGAGGCGCCTGCACCCAAGGATACCTCTGTGTTTAGCGATCTACCACAGGCAAGAGCTGATCAACAAGAGGTAAGCAATAACTTATTAATTAACTAAGCGCTGATAAGATAAATTTAACCTTGTGTAAACTAGTCTAAATGAGATTAGATTTTCATTACGACCATGCTACGAATTAGCAGCTTGAGCATATAATAATATAAATGATGATATTTAATTATTGTTAATAAAAATTATAGATATTTTTCTCATTATAAATGTAATTGTTGAACAGATGGTGACGCCGATGCAAACAACATCGGAGGACGAGGAAGACCTCTCAGAATTCAAATTCCAGAAATTTGCAGCCACATACTTCCAAGGAAACGTCACACATCAGTACTCGAAGAAACCTCTAAAACACCCTTTGCTGCCACTACATACGCAGGGCGACCAATTGGTAAATATTACGTCAATGATAATTAGTTCCGATGGTAACTAAATTTTGCAGAGATTAAGACAATTGATTTTATTATAAAAGTATAATACAATTTTTAGTTAGAATTTGTAATCGATATTTACATATATTGCAGGCTGCACAAGCACTATGGATCACTATACTACGCTTCACTGGAGATCTACCAGAACCAAGATTTCATACCATGGAAAGAGACAATACTTCCGTAATGTCAAAGGTCACAGCTACACTAGGAAGAAATTTCATTAGGTCCAAAGAATTCCAGGAGGCACAGATGATGGGAGTAGATCCAGATGCCTATTTGAATAAACAAAAACCAAGATCAATAAGACATAAATTAGTTTCGCTTACACTAAAAAGGAAAAATAAACTCGGAGAAGACGTACGAAGGAAGCTGCAGGTTAGTTATATGATCAAAGTACTCGTAATACATGTTATAAAATTTATAAAAAATATTCTGAAAATTGTCGATAGTTATGATATTAAATTGACGTAAATCCTACTAATCTGAATATTTTATATTTACAGGACGAAGAATATACAGCAGATAGCTACCAATCGTGGCTAGAATCACGACCTACTTCTAATTTAGAGAAATTGCACTTCATCATTGGACACGGAATCCTCCGGGCTGAATTAAGAGACGAAATATATTGTCAAATATGCAAACAGTTGTCTGTTAATCCTTCTAAATCATCTCACGCTAGAGGTTGGATTTTACTATCGTTATGTGTTGGATGCTTCGCTCCCAGTGAAAAGTTTGTGAATTATCTCAGAGCTTTCATACGAGAAGGTCCACCTGGTTATGCACCGTATTGTGAGGATCGATTAAAGAGAACTTTTAATAATGGTACCAGAAACCAACCACCATCTTGGTTAGAACTTCAAGCTACAAAGTCTAAGAAACCTATAATGCTTCCAATTACATTTATGGACGGTAATACAAAAACACTACTAGCCGACTCGGCTACAACTGCTAGAGAGTTGTGTAACCAGTTATCCGATAAAATAGGATTACGTGACCAGTTTGGATTTTCGTTATACATTGCTTTATTCGACAAAGTCAGTTCACTGGGCAGTGGTGGCGATCACGTAATGGATGCAATATCTCAATGCGAACAATACGCTAAAGAACAAGGAGCACAAGAAAGAAATGCACCTTGGAGGTTATTCTTTAGAAAAGAGATATTTGCTCCATGGCATGATCCTACTGAGGATCAAGTCGCAACAAATCTCATATATCAACAAGTTGTTAGAGGAGTTAAATTTGGAGAATATAGATGTGATAAAGAAGAAGATTTAGCTATGATCGCCGCTCAACAATATTACATCGAATATGGGCAAGATATGAACACAGAACGTCTCTATACATTGTTACCTAACTACATACCAGATTATTGTTTGACTGGTGTTGAAAAGGCTGTAGATCGTTGGGGTTCTCTAGTGGTGCAGGCTTATAAAAAGAGCTATTATGTCAAAGAAAAAATTCCTGCATACAGAGTTAAAGAAGATGTTGTTAGTTACGCAAAGTTTAAGTGGCCGTTATTATTCTCGCGATTTTACGAAGCATATAGAAATTCTGGTCCAAATTTACCCAAGAACGATGTAATTATTGCTGTGAATTGGACTGGGGTATATGTCGTAGATGACCAAGAACAAGTTTTGTTAGAATTGTCATTCCCGGAAATCACAACTGTGTCAAGCCAAAAAACCAACAAAGTATTTACGCAGACTTTTAGTTTATCGACAGTTCGTGGTGAAGAATTCACATTCCAAAGTCCTAATGCAGAAGATATAAGAGACCTTGTTGTTTATTTTTTAGAGGGATTAAAGAAACGATCAAAATTTGTGATCGCTTTGCAAGACTACAAAGCGCCTGGAGAAGGTTCTAGTTTCTTGACATTCCAAAAAGGAGATTTAATAATTTTGGAAGAAGACAGTACTGGTGAATCTGTTTTAAATAATGGATGGTGTATTGGACGTTGCGAGAGGACAATGGAACGAGGTGACTTCCCAGCGGAGACTGTTTACGTTTTGCCTGCATTAACTAAACCTCCTCCGGACATATTAAATTTGTTCTGTAAAGAAGGCGCACAGCACGGACGTCGTATACCAGCAGCTACTTTCAACGGAACAGAGAATAGAGATAAGCCACATACGTTGCTCGAATATGCTTTAGATCATTTTAGATTACCACCCAAACGTACAGTGTCCAAAGCTCTTACGTTATCTACAGCAAAACGTGGTGGCTCAGAAGAGTTATGGCGGCATTCAAGAGAACCTATAAAACTGCCTTTATTAAAAAAATTGCAGACTAAAGAAGAGTTGGCTGATGAAGCTTGCTTCGCATTCACAGCTATATTGAAGTATATGGGTGATCTACCTTCGAAGCGACCACGAATAGGTAACGAATATACAGACCACATTTTCGACGGTCCATTAAAGCACGAAATATTGCGGGATGAAATATATTGTCAAATAATGAAACAATTGACTGAAAATAGAAATAGAATGTCCGAAGAAAGAGGTTGGGAATTAATGTGGTTGGCTACAGGGTTATTTGCGTGCAGCCAAGGTTTACTTAGAGAATTAACGTTGTTCTTAAGAACTAGAAGGTATCCAATTGCTCAGGACTCTCTCCAGAGGCTTCAAAAAACATTGCGGAACGGACAAAGGAAGTACCCACCACATCAAGTGGAAGTTGAAGCTATCCAACATAAGACCACTCAAATATTCCACAAAGTTTATTTCCCCGATGACACGGATGAAGCGTTTGAAGTAGATTCCTCTACTAGAGCAAAGGACTTCTGTCAAAATATTGCACAGAGACTGAATCTCAGATCTAGTGAAGGGTTAAGTTTATTTGTTAAGATAGCCGACAGAGTGATATCAGTGCCCGAAGGCGACTTCTTCTTCGACTTTGTTCGCCATTTAACAGATTGGATTAAAAAGACACGGCCCACCCGCGACGGAATTACAGCACAATTTACATATCAGGTTATTTAAAGCCAATATTGATCATTATTTAATTATGCAAAACTATAAATATTCTTGTAGACAAAATAAAATTAATATGCTCATTACTATTGTCTCTGATACGACAGTCAGAGTCGTTTGTTGACAAATATCGAACTGTTGTGATAAAGATAACATTTGACAAGTCCAAATGTCGCCTAGTATAGGAATTAAAATTCAAAAGAGGTAGAGGCGAGCATGACTGCTGTTAATCATTAATTAACTAGGTTTAATGATGATAGAATTTTTAATGACCGTCATATATAAACTTATGACCTTTATTGTTATAGATTTATTTGAAATAAATAAGTCATAACTTTATTAAAAACGTAACAAGCATTATACAATATTATTTCAACATATATATATTTTTAACACAGGATAGAAACATATTAAAAAACAATTACATATCCTAAATACTATTTAATACGTATAGCTTTTTTTTTTTATGGGAGAAAATGGTATGATAACTCCGCCTGCGCTAACGGGATACGCTGGCGGAGCACCAGTTAAGGGTGATAGATGAGGATGAAAACAGGCCAGTTAGCCCATCATGATAAATTCAATAGGAATTAACCATGATAGTTTCCAGGGGGAACCGCGAGGAGGTTGACCTGGTTGGGTATATTGCTAGCAATGGGATTCTCAGTCTCCATTATTAACAATCCCTTTCCCCCCTATACATATAGTTTTTTTTAATGATAAAAATGTAATAGTAACCCCCCTGGGGTTATCGACATACACAGGCAAGATTGTTAATAAGTGATGATAGATGAAGATGAAGACGAGTCAGTTAATCCATTGTGAAGAATTGATTTAGAAATAACCACAATGAAACCATTGAAACCAGGGAAGACCACGTGGAAGTCAAGGGAAAGGGATTTTTAGTAATCCCCATTACTAACAATCCCTTACCCCAATAAGTATAGATTAGGTGCTGCTATTTGGCTACCGATAATAATACCCCAATATAAAAAAAAAATCACTCATTATTACGATAAGATTACAATGCAGATTAACAAAATAACCACTTATATATTTATTTGTCACAATAATGTCGCAATCTTTCAAATAAATAGGTAATTAATAATTGTTTTAGTCCAATATATTTGTTAATAAATTGATTAATAAAATAATCATATACTAACTCCTTTGTAACATAATTTGGATGAACTTACTACGTTTGTTGTTTCCAACAATTGCTTCAACTTTATTAGAAAGTCTTCTTCAGGGTGAATACAGTGCTTACATCACAGCCTTTTCTACTACATTATACTACTACTTATTGAAACTCTTCAATAAATCCAAATAATATTAGTGCAATAAAGCGTTAAATAAATAAAAGAAAGATAATATATAAAGATAAAATAATACTCTGTTATGTCCATGGTACTGCTCATGTCTGTAGGCGACGGTTACCACTTTCCATCAGGCGGGCCGTCAGCTTGTTTGCCATTCTAAGTTGTATAAAAAAAGAATATATAAAAGAATAAATAGAAATAAATCGTTATACGTCCTTAGTAATATTTTTTTAAATAATTTATTATACAATAAAGTGAAGTACTTTTTATTTATGAAAAAAGAAATAATTCAGCCAATAAATTGGCTTAATATTAATTAGCTTTCAACTAATCTAGTGTAGTAGAGATTGTAGAATTCGCCGTACAATTTTCGGATACTTGCAACCTTGAAAAACGGTGTCCAGTGATTATCTAGGACTATTTTTAATTATATCAAAATCTTTCTTTCTTTCATTATTCTTTATTGTACACAAAAGATTATTGAAATGTAAAAACAAACATAATAGTGCGTAAAACAAAGGCGAGCTTATCTCCAATAGAGATTTCTTCCAGCAAACCCAATATGAGAACCAAATCTTCTACAAGTATTCCTTGAGTCACCAAGTCAATTCAGTAAATTTTAAAAAGCGTTATTATTTCTATGTTTTTAGGTATTTTTTATGAAGAAATTATGGACAAACACAGTGCCGGGTAAGGATCGGGCTGCAGACGTGATCTTCCACTTCCACCAGGAGCTTCCAAAGCTACTTCGAGGATACCATCGTTGCGGCCGCGAAGAAGCGGCCCGACTCGCCGCGTTGGCTTATCGCGCGAGATTCGGAGATAACAAGCAAGAACTACAAGCTATACCGTAAGCGTTACTAATTAGTAAATTTAGTATTTTATTGTATATTACAATGATGATGATTGTATATTATAATTCTACTTAAAGTTTATGAAGATGTTTGAATGTTTGTTACTTTAATACTCTTAAACAGCTAACCGAATTAAACTTAATATCTAATACACAGGTAGACTATTAATATTTTTATATTATTCCACTGCTAACCATAGACCTCCCTCATAAGTGGGTTTTATATTAGTAGTTGCCACGTTTGGCAAGCAAGTTAGCAACCACAGTTAAGTTTTGGTTTTAAGAGGCACCCTACTGCCAATCCATCGACCATTAGTCGCCTCTTACGACACCCACGAGAAAGGAAGGGGTGGCCCATTCTATGCCGGGGCCACACGGCAATAAGTAGGCTATACCATATCCTATATTATGAAATAAAACACTTTATCTACAATACGATATATAATAATAATAATTTATTTACTGAAAAACACAGTATACAGGGGGTACTAATAATATGTTAGGAACAGGAGTTTTTTTTTTTTTAATTTTGCTTGCCAAAACAATGGCATGCAAATTTTTTATTTTTATGGTAATTTTTTTTAAATACTATTGATAAAATATTATTTATGTGCTTATAAAGTGCTTATGCATGTGCTAGTATGTAATACAATTGTTTCAAATTCAGTTCTCACATAATTTTATAAACAATAACAATATACTTCGTCTTTAGATAACTGAATTTTTTAAGTTACTTTATTAACTAATTAATTAAAAATAATACCTTATTCATTTAAATATATATCTACTTATTCCCAGGACTTTAAAACGATAAATTTTGTAATATAATTATCATATGAATTTCAGCTTATGCTCTTAAGTATTTAAATTATACTATTTACGACCGTTTCTAATTTCTAAGCTCTAAAACTTTTATATTTTACTTTTCAGACAAATGCTTCGAGAGCTAGTACCAGCGGATCTAATAAAACTTCAGAGCTCGGCAGACTGGAAACGGGCTATTGTAGCCTCGTACAACCAGGACGCCGGTATGACTCCAGAAGACGCGAAGATAACCTTCCTGAAGGTGATATATCGATGGCCGACTTTCGGCTCGGCTTTCTTTGAAGTAAAGCAGACTACAGAACCAAACTATCCTGAGCTATTGTTAATAGCCATAAACAAACATGGAGTCAGTTTGATACATCCACAGACAAAGGTATATTACGTTTTTACTATTTACTATATGGTTTATTTATTTATCTATATTTAATCCCGATCAAAAGAACATAGAACTAGAGAGAACAGAGTGCCAAAAAATTCATTTAACATTTATTTGGAATCTAACATTGATTTTTAATATTATCATCACCATGACAGCCCATCTATGGTCCATTGATTAACGGTGTTCCTAATATTCCGCCCTAAATACACTCCCAGATCGCCAGCATCTATCGACTCCCTGCAACACTTTTGAAGTCGTCACTGTATTTACTATCCACACATTATGCTTGCTTACATGGAGTCGCCACTCGAATACTTTTCTTCGTTAATAATAAAATTATTTTATTCTATAAGTATCTTAGAGATTAAACTGCCTTTTGTTTGATTTTAAATTAGCTTATATCTTCCTGGATATTAGCTTATTTATTATCAGATAATAGAAATAAGGCAGAAAAATTCGTCCGACAATAGGAGTAAAATAGGCTACTGCGGTGATATTATGAATATAGTTGCAATGTTAATTAATAATATTATACTTATTTAATGTACATTTGTAACTGAAGAAAGATACAATATTCTTAATGATATTTTTACAGTGGAATAACACCTAAGTCCTCAGGTATGGCAACGCATGGGGGGTATCATGGGCGAAACAGTATACTCTGTTATATCCATGGTACTGCTCACGTCTATAGACGACGGTTGCTACTTTCTATCAAGTGGGCCGTCAGCTTGTTTACTATTCTAAGTTGCATAAAAAAAGGACTGTCAGGTACTGTAATGTGTTAATTTCTTTCAAGGACATATTGGTCACGCACCCGTTCACCAGAATATCGAACTGGTCCTCGGGCAATACTTACTTCCATATGACGATCGGCAATCTAGTGAGGGGCTCGAAACTACTTTGCGAGACTTCCCTCGGCTACAAGATGGACGACTTGCTCACATCCTACATTTCTCTCATGCTTACCAACATGAACAAACAGCGTTCGGTGCGCGTCAAGTGATCCCCGAGCGCTAATAGACAATTTCGTTTGTTATCGATTGTTAATTTGCTTAATGTGCTAATTATATAATTTAAAACTAGTGCATGTTACTTAAGTGTTGAACTGGTCTAACAGGTGTTATGGTACTAGCTGTTTCACAAGCAGCTATAGAATTTATTCGTAAAGAATAAAGTTGCTCATATAATAATTCCCATACACCTATTTTGAAGCTTAGATTTATTTTGCGTGGTATATTTGTACATCACAAGTTCATTGTAAAATGTATGTATAAAAACTAGTATTAAATGAATGCACAATTTGAGTAAGGCCACATTGTTTTTAATTTATGTTGGCAGAACTGTGTCCGTTAGTTCGTAAGATAGGTAATGAATTTATCTAAGAATTTATCCGTCCAACAAATATTAAATGCAATATTTATAATCTGTTTTTCTATACATAAACAGTACTAGCAAGTTTTTTTTTTTTTTATCTAGGTAATAATGATTAAAATAACTACATTAAAAAAGTTGTATTAATTATAACGTATTATTGCATATTATACTTTCTGTCCGTAATCATTTTTAAATGACTAAATTTAGTAAAAAGGCGTACTAAATTCGGTTATTATACTAATTGTGTCTAACATAGAAAAGGAGATTATTTTATATTGCATGTAAGTAACAACCATCACCAACAATAGGTACTGTGCAGTTTTGTATATGAGTTTCTGAATATGTTATTTAATCATATTATAGAACTATTTATCTAAGTACAATTAGTAATCAATATTTAAAAAAAATATAAGATTATGTATCGTATTGTACTCAACCACCTTGGTAACGTAGTGTTTGAACATGTTGCAATTGAAGCGCCGAATTCGATTCTCGGTACAGTCAAATTGGAAATATCAATTTTCTTACAGACTTAATGTGTACAGGTGTTCTGAGATACATTTGCAGATGTTAGTTGCACTGGAGTCGACTATGAGTTCCATCTCTCTAATACAAACCTATTTCTAAAACGAAAATCACATTTTGATATTACAGCAAAATCTTTACTCTAATGACCAATATGAACTAAATTTCTCATTTAAGTTAAAATTATTATAAATTTAGTTTTTTAATAATCCATGAAAACAGTAATTTTGCGGAACTATGAAATTAAAATATTAGACTAAAGGATTGGCTTAGAGAAATGGTGCCTCAGAAGCGAACCCATTGTTCTCGGTACAGGGTAGCTGTCCTAAAGTTTGGGGGTCAGACAATTGACGTATTTGTACGGTACTCGATAGGTTGTGCCACACAAATCACTGTCAAACATTATTATGATTATATTCTGAACCTATAGAATATTATTATTATAAGTGCGTGGTACTGACGTATGTATTGAAGATCGCGTTGAGATAAATTTAAGCTATTTTAACTCAGCGTATCATTAAAACGGCCCAATGTGTACTAACTTGATATTAGGTACCATTAAAACGACCGAATATGTACTAACTTGATATTATAGATCTGTTATTATTTAATTTAGGTGAACGGTAAGTTTATATATTTAAAGAAATATAAATATTTGTTATTTTTGCTATTTGTTGCCTTATTCAGTGCCTAAACGCTTTACGTCATAAACGAAGGTTGTTTCACGTGATGTTTTATTTTTTAAATGAAATATAACAATGGAATTGATAAATGTACCCTCCAAATATGCACACGGCATAGCTTACAAATGTTCTGCATATATTTTACATAGAAAATGATAAGAAAATTAACTTACAGCATTAAAGAATATAAATAAAAAATAAAACCCTAACTACCTAATCAACAAAGAAATGGAGTTAGATATTTTTGTATTAAAATTTTAACATTTTAAATTGTCGTATGTTAATCTTAACTAGATATTTGTGTACGTAAATATCGAAAATGTATTTATTATTAGATATAATGTTATCTCAAGCTAAAAATAATATAGATATATCTGTGTTATGCCATGAGTCCAGAGATAATATCTAATCTATATATCTACTTCGCTTTAAAGTCAAAAGTTGCATTTGTGAGTGGTTGTAAACATGAGTCACAATGAGTTATGTGTTTTATTTTATAATAACAATTCCCATTTGTGTTAAACAATTACTTACTCGGGCCCCAATTAAAATTACAAAGGCAGAAATGTTGTATCAATCATGACAAAAAGTTTCAAGGTTGCGTCAATATTAATGTAAGTATACTTACAGTATGAGTATGTACCTAATCATTAACCATTGTTACTTTTTTTAATGAGTGATAATTGAATGGTAACGTTGCCTGCGCTGTCGGTATACGCTGGTGGGGCACCAGTGAGGGATGATAGATGACAATGAAAGCAGATTAGTTAGCACACCGTGACGAATTCCACCAGATTTAATCACGATGGTTTCCAGGGGGAACCATCTGGAGGTCGACCTGATAGGGTGTATTGCTAGCAATAGGTCAGTTAGACCACATTACTAACAATTCCTTTCCCCCAACACACATTACTAGCCTTTATATCGCCGTCTGTGCCCCGGCATAGAATATGCCGGATGAACAGCAGCGTCCCTTTTAAAACAACTCTAAAAGCCTAACTGCGGTTGCCAAACCGCCTGTCAAGCGTGGAAGCTACTGGAAAAACTTCCCTTATGGAGAAGGCTTATGTTCAACAGTGGACAGTTAACGGCTGAAATAATAATAATAATAAATAGCCATAATAACATCTATAATATAGAAAATATATCTCTTTCTACGACCTCAAAATTTATCTTGAAAATATATTCTAAAAAGTTCCTTCTTTGCTAAAGATATTACGGTAAATTCGTATAACGTAGATTTTGCTTAACAAAAATAATTACATTAGATAAAATTAATATCGGACTAACATTACAGTTAATTCTTCGATCGTAAAACATTTAAACATAATCAAAAATGGATTAGAGTTGCCAGTGTTAGTACGAAGACGTTATGAATGTAACACGTTTACATCGATAAGTTTGTATGAAAATCAGAATTTCAGATTTCATTCTTTGAAAACGCAGCAGATTTTTCAGTATTGTATATTAATGACAGACAACTATGGCTATGATATATGATGATGATGATTCTATATTAAGAACGTAATTTATAAGTTTAAACATAGAAACTTAAATCTTATATTACTATGTACGAAGAGGTATTTTCAATGGTTAATAATGAAAAGTAACTCCGCCTGCGCTATCTATACAAGCTGGCAGGGCACAACTGGCTGATATTAGGTGAACATGAAAGCAAGTCAGGCCATCGTGACGCGATCCACGATGATTTCCAAGAGGAACCGCGTGGAGATCGATCTGATAGGGTATTTACATGACTGTTGCAAACTCCTTAGTTATTTTTAAAGGTTTTTATTTTTATTGTATTTTATACTTTTGTTTCCACCAATTGTCACTTTTGCTCTTTGCTGTCGTAGTCTATATTTCATAGTTTTCTGTATTATAGTTATTTTCCTTTTAAACACATTTTTGGTCCTTCTTCGGTAAACTATCACACCTAACATTTTCATTCCGTGTTTAGTTTCATACGTAGTTGTGTTCATACAAAGCAGTATTGTATAGTTCATTTAATGATCACGCGTAGTAAAGGTAAAATCATGTCATCGCATAACGTCTCTTCTACTACATCTCACGCCGAGCCGTCTCATGTAGGCTTAGATAGAGTCTGTGCAGATGAAGGTGATCAATCGCAGCTTGCTATCCGCGCAGTCGAATATATCGTGTTTCGTCTTTGAGCGTGAAGGCGCGGATGGCTGCTGCTGAAGCTGTCCACAAGCGTCGCCAGTATGAACGTGAGGCCGCACTCGCACGACATCTTGCGGAAGTCGAAGATGCTGAATACCGTGCCGAGCTGGAGCAAATTAATGCTGAAGCGGACTCCAAAGGTAGCAGGCGAAGTAGGAGCACCTCTACTCTTATGACCAGAACGGAACAATGGGTAAAAAATAATTGTAATATTGAAATACACGACACTAGAGATGAACGTCATGAGGTCTCAAGCCTAGTTATTCGGGCATCGCGCCAGTAGCTCCTCAGGCTGCTGCTACACAATTAGCAGCACTCCTCACCTGTTCAACGAGCGTAGGTTCTGTTTCTCATGTACCAGTACAGGCGAATGTATGCAAAACCCTTTTGGTACATCCCATAGGGGAACGTGACCACGTGACCGTTGGTAACAATGATGTCAATTCTCAGTTATTTTTACAAATTACGGCCAACATGGCAGACGCAGCGAAAGCCTTAGCCACAGCTCACAACATGCCTAAACATTCTAGGATAGAGTTGTTCCCTTTTACAGGCAGTCCATTACTGTGGTTACAATTCAAAAAAAATATTTGCTAGTACTAAATCATTTTATTCCCCTGTAGAGAACGTTGCGCGTTTACAAAATGCGCTTCGTGGACCCGAACGAGAAGCCGTCGCTTCGCTTCTCGTCTCTGCAGAGGATCCTGAAGAGATCATACTCGAACGAAGTTTTGCGTCACCAGAAATGATTATCTTCAGTGAGGACATACAATTATTGAAGTCGCTACCTCGAAAGGTAACGATCTTAAAAAAAAATATACTATTGCTAATAAGATACGGAATAGTCTTTCTACTATAAAACTACTCAATCATAGTGAATATTTACATTCACCAGAATTATTTCATGTCATTTTAGGAAAATTTAACTCTAATACTAAAATGAAATGGACTGATTACGCATCCGAATTTAGTAGGTCGAATCCACACCTTTCTAAGCTAAAACGTGCCAGAGCTATGATGTCACTTAGTTTACATGCACAATCCTTGTCAAAAGAGACTTTGACATCTTATAGTCATTTATGTGATTTAGCTGACTTCTTGTCTTATAATAATGCTACACCGACCGTACTTATCGGTGCTAAAGATTGGTATTTGTCAATAACACGAGAAGTTCGTATAGGCAAACGCAACGACCCTGTAGCTTGTCGTACTTTGTTAGGTTGGACATTATATGGAATGAGTTGTAGTAAAACTAAACCTATTGAATTTATTAATCATTGTCAGTTTTTAGACAAACGGTTGAACGGTTAGAGCCCTTGTTAAAGAGCAATATAAAATAGATCATTAGGTATTTCTAAACGTGAAACATTACATAGCAATCAGGATATACGCGCCTTACAAATTTTAGAATCTACTGTCAAGCGACTACCGACTGGCAGATTTGAAATAGATCTTCCTCGGCGTGACAACATAAAACAAATTCCAGATAGCTATTCACAAGCTATGTCACGTTTGGAGAGACGAATGAATCGTGAGCGTGATGTTGCTGAATCTTATAGAAATCTTATAGATGATATGGTAGTTAAAGAGTATGCAGAGTGTGATGCAGAGTATGAATGTGTGTCCGTTACTTTTTATAATTATAATCGTGTTAGTACCTCTGACTCTATACGCGCGCGTTCTTTCAAGCCACTTGTAACCCATCGAATTGGTGAAATTTCTAAGAATTGTCATGTACAAGATTGGAGATGGGTTCCAACTAGCTTGAACATTGCTGATGTCGCCACAAGTATGAAACCCCTTAATTTAAATTCGAACCACCGTTGGTTTATGGGGCACTCATTTTAAGATTGGCTTGTTGAACCAGCTGGTCAGCCTATGGTTCAGGAGGAACACATACAGCATTTAGAACCCACATACAGCATTTAGAACCATTAGCTGTTCATGTGTTAATTATTGCTGACTTTACTCGATTCAGTGATTGGCTTCGGTCACTTCGCGCCGCTGCTCGCGTTTTGCAGGTTGTTTCAAAATTTTGTTGACTTTTGGATCGATCTATTTCTGACTCTAAAAACTTTATCTACACTCGTTATCGTGAAACTTCTGCGTCCACCACTTTAATACCTTTGACAGCAGAACTGATGAAAGCCGCAGAACGGCACGTCTTGCAACGTGTTCAACAAGACAGTTTTAGAGAATAGATCCAGTGCATTACGAGATCACAACCAATCGCAAAGTCAAGTCGCTTCAGCAAATTGTCGCCCATAATGAGAGAAGATAACCTTTTACGACTATATGGTAGGATTAAGACCGTATAAAATCTTCCTCCACAGCGGCTTGCTCACCATCGTCGTCCATTTACTTTCACGGGATTGGATTACTTCGGGCCAATTAATGTCACTATTGGTCGAAGACATGACAAGCGCTATGTTGCGCTATTTACTTGCCTGACGCTTGCCTGACGTCTGTTAGCTGTCCATTTAGAGCTTGTCCACAACCTCTCTGCTGATTCAGCTATTATGAGTATACGGAGATTTATAGCAAGAAGAGGCACGCCTGAATCAATTTACTCCGATAATGGCACAAACTTTGTAGGAGCCAATCGCTTATTAAGAGAATTTTACCAATCTGCTGTTCCAGATATTGCTGCCAATAGAGGCATAAAGTGGAGCTTCATCCCAGCTGCTGCGCTTTTTATTGAAGGTTATTGGGAGAGACTTGTTCGCTGTGTGAAATTTGCATTAAAAGCTATACTACATGAAACGTCACCTAAAGAGGAGGTACTACTTACGTTGTTGACTGAAGCCGAAGCAATTGTTAACTCACGACCTCTTACTTATGTCTCGGTTGAATCCGATAGCGAGGATACTTTAACGCCATTTCACTTTCTGATCGGTTCATCTTCCAATCAGATGACAGCCGGAGTGTTAGATGATACTGACTTAGTCCGAAGAGCGGATTGAAGAAGGCGCTTCGTCTGGCTGATCACTTTTGGAATCGGTGGGTGAAAGAAATATTACCTACTATGCAGCCTCGTCTGAACGGTCGAAGAGATCGTAATTTGAACATTGGCGATTTAGTTGTGATCGTAGACGAGAATCTTCCAAGAGGAACGTGGCCCCGTGGACGTGTCACAGCAACTTTCCCAGGCAACGATGGTGTTGTTAGGGTGGTGGACGTAGCGACAGCAGGCGGTTTGCTTCGCCGACCTTCCAAAAAGTTAGTCAGGTTAAACGCCTAAGTTTTCATTTTTTGTTTAACCTGGCTTGCTACCGAATTTGTGCATTTCTGCACC